CCCTCAGTTATTATCATCACAACATCTATAGCACCAACACAGCACATTTGTATAGGCTCAAGGTATACTGGGCATCGGTGCCCCGCCTCTATGATTGGTCGCGGTCTGCTTCACTTTCTCCGGCCGAGCCCTGAAGCCTCATGCATCTTAATTACCATCGTGTATGATGACGATGACCTGCGGCACTGCACCAACTGTGAATATATTAATTAAAATAGTCATCTCCACAATGAAGTTTTAATGAAATTTACACTGCAGTGAGCACTGTAATTAAATAATGTGCGAAGTGGAATTAATAGTGTGAGTGATCGCTATTGCATTATTGTAAGTTTTCGTTTAGGATTTAAGTCACCACGAACGTAGCCTCGTTTAGCCATGGTTTGTATAAGTCACTGTCAGTGATATTCCACCACAGAGAAGTGACTGTGTTCACAAGATAGGCAATAAAAAGATCAGTAAATTGTTCAATCGATAATAATTTGACATGTAGGGCACTGAATAGTAGTTTTCAAGTGAAAGTTACAGCATAAGTACAACGACTGGTTTATTATAAAAAATAAAAGGTCATTTTATCGCAATACGTCTGCAATTAGGAGCTTTTTTCAAAATTTTGCCAACGTGCAAAATGCTCGGAAATTTTTCCACATATTATCCAGTCGTGGTACACTATAACATTCACATAACTCACAACGACAGAACTACTAGAGTCACGTCCCGCGGTCGTTCAGAGCTGCCGTGTCACCCAACACTTCCTTTCTTCATTGTAATCACGCATGACAATAATTACAGACTTCTGAGCCCTCGAAACACTTCAGCCCTGCGACAATTGCAGGGTTTGCCCCCTGAAAAGAAATAAAGAATACCCTAAGGAAGAGCTTGACTGTGAACAGAAAAATACGCTGTTGGGGGTGCTTGTGACATAAATTTGCAATAAATGGCAGAAAAATATTGAAATTTTTCAATAAAAAACAGTCGCACATTATTTTTATTTAATATACAATCAGAAATTCTAATTGCCCCTTAAATATTGTTCATATCAAATAGGGAAGCTTATGATTGTGTGATCGAGACAATGATATCAATCTACTCAATATGATCAAACCAAGAATATTTCAGTATACCTTCCACAAGGTGATCGCACACATCATTTATATGCGCAAGAATCGTAGCTCAAAAAACGAGGTGCTCACGATATGATATTTTTGTGCCTATATACGAGTAACCTGTACACGCGAACCTTGATTTAAAAAACAGTTTCCTTGCAAAGTGAAACTCAACCTGAAAGAAAAACCTGCAAGCTCAGCCAAGAGCCTTGAGGTGAATACTGATACGAACTTATTGACTTTTTTATATATACTTATATATTTTTATTTATATTCGTATATAGAGTATTACGCCGGCAACTGTTCTCAACGTCTTTTCTACTGCAAGGAAGTTGCACAAGACAGGAATCGATCCTGGCTGAGTGTAGCTTACATAAAATTGTGCGGAGGTTTCTTTCATATCAAGCAGAGAAATGAGTAAGACCGTCGATATAGCAATGCAATTTTTACCCTAATTTGGGGTTATCTGGACCCACTTTGGCTCGTAAAAATATGTATCGGTGCTAGAATCACTATACTATTAATGTGGGTAAGAGAGCGTGTTACTATTTAAACAATTTAACCTATGCAGTTTTCTGGACTTTGAAGTTATAAAGTGCGAAGGAAACTGATTTACATCATTGTTTGAATATGTAACTAATGTTATTAATAATGCTTTAGAAATTTTTAGTTACGTGAAGGTACGCTAAATATTCTAATTATAACATTTTGAATTTGTAGTGCGTGAAAATGAATCTATGAACTTTCTATTGATTGTAATGATTTTGTTTAAAATAATTTTGTCTGAAAAAGTGTGAAAACTAATAATATCTTTTAACGAATATAAGGAAAATTCTCGATTATGTAACTGCACTATATATTTTAGGCATTCCATCTGTTCCATTTCGAATTCCCACGTTTCAAAATGAAAGTTTATAGGCACGAAACTTCAGAACACTTCAACATCACGTTAATAAATTCGGTAATACTCACAGTAGAGATTGTCATATTAATCATTTTTAATTCTTTTGTAATTATCAAAGAATCTAGCATCTTATACAATCTAGCAAGAAAAATGTTATTTTTATTAGAGTTATCGTGATAAATCATCTATCCAAAATCGCTGGACTGAGGAAGCTAGTGGCTTTGTAAAGAAGATGTTTTATGTTTGCTATGCAGGAACAAACTTCTGGTTCTTTTTAACAATATTTTGGATTACAACAGCAAACTTCACGTTTAATCACTAAAATCTTTTCCTTGAATAAATTCGGCATAGGAGTCGATTTCCGCAAATATTTTGTACCTCCATTAACAATCTGCATTTGCTTTAAGGTTAAAAATTGAGCAATGATGTTTATTTCTGAATCAAAACTAATGCGAGTGGCTTATCATTATGAAATTATTTCACAAAATATTCATGATATACAAATTTTGCAATTACGTACAAAAGGTTATCAATGTTGTGCAAATCTTAGTACCGTCGGAGCTCCAATGTTGAAGCGAATGAGGCAGTGCCGTACTGCTCGGCATTGTTCAGGTCGCGTTCACTAATTCGTAGTTCATAATAATTCCTTGAAGTATTCAAGCAGCTGGAAGCGCGCAGTGAAAGGGAACAATACCATGTAATTTAACAATGCACTTCATTCTGACACCTCATGAGTCTAGAATTATACTGCTGAGCAAACAATTAAATTCCATGAACGGTATTAATCGTGAACACACTTATTGAGGCAAACTGCAGACTCAGATTCTTGTTAGTCAAAGTAACTATCAGCAATAGTTAATATCATTTAATCACTTTTCATTATTATGAGTATTATTATATAATACAGTTTTCAAATTGAAAAACAGAAACTTGAAATTCCCCGGATCTTATTCATTTTATAAAATTTATTTCTTATCCCCAAAACCTCGTTTTCGGTTTGTTAATTTTGATGATTAAATGCACGTTAGATGTGGCGCAAAAAAATAGAAAGTCTACATGTTCGTTAAGTTTTTTTTTTCAACTAAGATTCAAAAAGCCCAATGAAAAATTCTCTGTCTTTTATTTAAACGCCTGCAGATATTTCATCCGATGCTTGAATCGCACTTCTCTGTTTACTTTTTAAACATCAAGGGCCATACTTTCAAAACTCGCTAAGTGAACGTAAGTATTTACGCTCTATTTCCTTGTCAATGATTGGTGGATTTTGCTTGAAAGGCCGTCAATGATTGGCTGATGAACTTACGATCTCTTAAATTTTTTTGAAAGTATGGGCCCAAGTCTACATCGCCAGGCAAAAGGGGGCAAAATTAAACAGAATTTATGGTTCGTTTGTTAACCGAATAAGGACGGAACTTGAGCACGGTCATGATGGCATCAGCACAGCATTGTCTTCGTGGCTGGGGAAAGTGAGCTGACCAACGCAGTGTTGTGCTATTTTACTCCCAGTCTTGCGGGTCTTAGAATAGAATAAAAGTGTCAGCACTGAAGAAATAGGCCCATGGCCTGTTGCCGATTCTTGAATTTTTCGTGACTTGATTCCCAAGGGATCCGGCCTTTGGAACCCGATCTTTCCATAACTGACGATTGATTGAGATAGCTGCCTGGTCCGTAATTTGCTAGGCATTTAAAGACTGAACGGAGCTTGGGAGCGTTATTAAAGTTATGACAAATGTCACTTAATTAAATTAATTTATATCTGTAATTATTAATCGCCGTGAAGATAACCTTTTGATTTCTGAGTAAATAATTTTTTGTTAGTGTTTTAAGTTCTTAGATAATCTTACTTTCTTCTATACCCACTACCATTTCATTTCTCCATTTTTCCGAATCTGTATTATCATAGCTGACATCGGATGACATTCACAGATTTTAAATTTTTTCTGTTTTCGTTCTTAAGCCTTAGAAAATGTATCATAATGCCGTTGCTTTAGTAAGAAAATTTTTGTATTTCTGTTGTGACAGTTTGCTTCTTGATTCTAACGAAAGATGACAGACCAAATGAAATTTACGCGGTGATGGTTTTCTTGCAATTTATGAATCGAACGACGGACTAAACTATTATAATTAGAATTTAATATTATTGCACTTTCCTGTAAATTTACACTTTAATACTATTGTTCTGTGAACTCATTTGTTATTGTTCTCAATTTTCCACTGATCAGTTAAACATTCCGATTCGAAGGATTTATTCAGAGTAACAATTATTTGCAAATTAATGAAACATTATTCATGGCGACCTCATATTATAATAATGACTGAACTTTTCGTTCACTTTGCATCATGCAACTCACCAATATATGGTCTTCATAAATTGGCATTATAGAAAGTCTTCATAAATATTCTATTGACAAATCTACGAATTTTAGTTGAGAATTATACTGAATCTCACATATATACTGAGCAAATAATGAATTGAAAATTTTACAAAGGAAAACATTTTCATTGATGTCCGTTCAACGGCTGATATAATCAGACTTTTTGGATTGTTGAAAAAATGCAAGAGATGATCTCGGGCTGCACTGCCAGTGTCAGGATGCTGCTGAGTGCTGAGTCACTGCCCTGAGTGACAGCGCGCATCTTACGAATCCCCCAACCGCTCATATTTCGAAGAATTGGGCTTTCCGCACATCGATAACGATTAGAAGGTCGAAGGGATTGACTAACCACCGGGAAAATGATTGCAGATTCAGGGTACCTGCCGCAGATTATTACACAAATGTTTCATCGAAAACCTTCAATTACCGTCAAGGTTCAATTATTTCCATCAACTCGTAGTAACAAGCAAGAAATCTATGTTGTGGTTTTTGCCTTTTTCGGTACATTTTTTCATACATTTCACACGTGTCATTTAAATCTTTCTTTTGCATTATTTTTATAAATGAGTGTCTGTACAGTTGTCTAGAAACAACACTAAATTTGTTCATATTTTTCAGGTGGCCAGCGCCGTATTGATGGCGTGTGCTCTCGTCCCGATGTCAGAAGCGGGGATGAACGATTGGTTTGGAGGGATGTTCGGCGGAGGCGGTGGGGATAAGGGCAAAGGAAAAGGCGGCAGACGAAGACCCCATGGGGGATACCGACCCATCTACATTAACGCGCCCCCCATAGTTCAGCACGCTCCTCCACCCCCTCCACCACTCTACCAGAAGCCTGTGGTACCCAGTTATGGAGTCGGTTATGGGACACACAGTTTCGTCGGCGGCCATGGACTTGGAAGCTATGGCTTGGGTGGTCACAGTATCGGAAGCACTCCAGTTGCTTCGTTCAAATCTTCCCACGCAGCGCCTATTGAGATCCATTCAAAAGGTCTAGGCTCACACAGCGGCGGAGGATTCAGTTCGTCATCCTTCTCAAGCTTGGGAACCTTCGACTCTGGATCATCATTCGGAAGCGTAGGATCCTTTGACTCTGGATCGTCGTTTGGAAGTCTAGGTAGTTATGGTAGCACTGGGTTCTCAAGTATACCCGCCCACGTCGAAACGATCACTCATTCGTCTGGTCCATCTCTTGGTCACAGTCACACAACAGTAGGGTTCGATGGAAACTTCCACCATTCCCGTGGTAAAGACGGAAGTCTAATTACATCTTACGGTGACAGTACTGGACTCATCGCCCCTCCAGTTCAAGAGGTTTTCTCAAATGATATCCACGCGCATGCCGTTCATACGACCAGTAGTTATGGAAGCAGTTATGGCGGTGGTAGTCACAAAGGTTTTGGGCCCATTAAGGATGATGACCTGATCACCGTGTCCAATGATTTAAGTGGAACTTCAGCCGGTGGTGTAGGAGGTGTTCACATCTCTGATGAACTCTCGGTACCACAAGGATTCTCTCATCAGTCTGTAAGTGTACCACAGCACGATCTTCCTGCAGAAATTAAACATGAACTACCAGCGGAAACAGATGACAGTCATAGCGTAGAAGCAGTAAATGAAATTGACTTCAGCACAGCTCTGAAGACCGGAAGACAAATCGATCATCGCCCCCCTGTTTACCAAGCAGGAAGTAATCAACTGGCTGGTGAATTTGCAGGCCACCCATTGGCAGCTAAGGAACTTCAGGAAAATTTATCGTTTGGAAGTGGCCTGTCTTCTGCTATCGCCCATGCGCATGGATCTGCCCAATTACCAATGGCAGAGCACGGAACTTCCTCCATATCATACCTCGAGCAGCCGCCTGCCCCTCTTTATTCTCTTAACTCTGTTGGGTCCTCTTCTCTCAGCGCTGGTGTGTCATCGATTCATTCAGGAGATAAATCTTTCATTCCATCGAAACAAATCCCATTCCCCGAAGAAGTGACCCATGGGGTTGAGCATCCAGTAAGCATTGATGTCGACACCTCTTATTCTGCTCCCAACGCTGCGGTTAGCACCGGAGTGCCAAGTTCAATCGTTAATGCTCATGGAGGAATACCAGTTCAAACTGGCTCATTCTCGGAGTCCTCTCAAGCGTTCGTAACATATGATTCGCCTTTAAATTACAACGATCCTATCATTGAGATCGTATTCGAAGACGCAGATCCCACGCACACTCCTGCTCCCATCGAGATAGATCCTTCGCTTTATCAACCTCAGGCTGACGATGTCGAAGTTTACTTTATTGAAGTCTCCGATGATAAGCCCTATGAATCAATTGACGACCTAGACTTAACAGGAGCTCTGAAGGGCGTGCGAGAAGAGTTCCCCAATGGTTTACCCTCAGAGTTGAGCCAAACTCTAATTAACTCAGGCTACCTAGACAATGCCCAGATCGAAGTTCTTGACTTGAATACTGCACTTGGAGATAATTCACTAGATTTTAACGTTCGCAATGCCCTGCGAGAAGTGTATGGTTCGGAAAGTAAGAGCTTACCGACGGTTGTTGATGCACCAAAAAATAAAACAGACGAGGACAAAGTCTCGAAAACTGACACTCGTACCAAGCGATTGGCCAACCACAAGCAGTCTGAAACCTCAAAATCTGAAGTAATTCAAGAGCCCAGGCAATTCGCAGCTGCACGATACGGAGGCGTCGTAAAAATGAACGAAAAGGAATCTCGAAGCTTTTCATCCGCCCCTACCGATGATGACAAAACTCCCATTCCCGAACTTCCAGAAATCAAAGGGAAGAAAATTAGCGGTGTTCTTGTTTATAAAGACTCTGAAACCATCCCGGTGAACTCGGATCAGAGCAAGACCCTCGAACAGCGGAGCAACGCACAAGGATTGCGGACAGCCAGGCAGGTTGAGATCCCCGAGAACTGGTCCGACGGCGACTGGCAGCCAGTGGCTCCTTATGTAAGAACCCCGGAAAAGTCCACGTCTAGTTAATCATTGTTGGATAAATTTTAATGACAAAAGAAGATGATAAATGCACGACATGAAATCGGAATTAAAAATTCAGGAATATGTTCAGTAAAAAAAAATAGAAAGCATATTTGTTCAATCAGAAATGTGTTTTGAGCCTATTATTTCTAGTCAAGTATTCATGCACAATAGTTACAATTTTAATTCTAGGATATTGTGTTCCATTTTAATTTTTCAATGCCTTATGCCACAAAAATTATATAATGAAATAAGTTTTTAATTGTGCGAATTTTTCAGCCGTATTCGAGAGCGAATAGTCAGATTTCACAAGACAATAAGAAATTGTAGGTTCAATTTATATATTGTACGATACACATTATGTAAAAATCCACTCCATGCCTCAATAAGCGTTTGTTTATTTTATTTATATCTTTAATTTATAGTCTTATGCTCCTTAAACGATGGCATATGAGAAATGTAATCTTTTTTTCGTTGAGTTTGAATGTGGTAACATTTTTTCGTACTTTATTTTGCTCGCATTCGAAAAATGTTCAATTGAATAATAGTTGATATTTTTAAGATTTTCTTCGACCATGCAGATAATCTTAGAATGTTATTCTTGGTCTTTAAAAATATTTACTGATAAATCCATGTTGATGGCCTTTGTGGTAAGTCACTTTCTTTCTAATCATTCTTCACTATCGTGTCGCCTTCTTTTTCAACTCCCTTGATCTTGACTTGAACATTTATTTTATTTCATTCACAACCTCAGATTTATAAGTATTAAAATCAATTGTCATAATTTAGAAGATCGACGTTATGACAACTTTATAACCGACGCTCAACAAAAATAATGTGAGGAGTACTATAAATCATTTACATCTATGTATGCGTGGCACTTCATTGTGTTCTCTTTTGTAGCTTCTCATTAGACGGGCTTGATCAACGCTATTTTAAGGTGAAAAGGATCTATAAACATTTACCCATTAAAACTTGCGCCAGTTTGAAATCTAAACGCAAACATTTTCAAAATAACCAGTTGCACTTTTAAATTATTCCTATTGCGGAACAGCAGCCCCAACTTCAGTTATTGTAAAAAGTGGCATATATACTTTCCAATATCAGTAAACAACGGACGTACGATACTTCAAAATATTAGATATAATTTTATACGATTATTAAATGTTATTTACATACAAGCTACGTCGATGCATTGCAATCATGGCGTACAGACGGTAAAAAAAAGTTTTAAAAGAAATAAGCAGGTTTTAAGAACAGTTTTCATACAGGAAACTGTCTTAATTTGTGCCGTTATTTTCCCTTGCATTATTTTTATTGTTGTTTATTGATGTTTCGTCAATTGTTGTTTACTTTCCAAGGATAATTTTTGTTGTGCTCATATAATGTTCAGTTCGTTTCTAAGTTGTGATACAATTTCAAATTTTAACACGAACCCCTTAGAGAGTCATTAAAGAAAATAAACGGTAATTTCAATCGAGTTTTCGAATAAAAATTCTGAAATCTGAATATTTTAAGTAAAGCGTGAAAATTTTGAATCTGAACAATTATTATAGCTGGTTATAGATGCCATTCTTAAAACCTACGACGACATCCTGATCAGCATGCTATACTGCATAAAGCCTTCTACCCCAGGCATGTGGGCTCATTCTTTATCAATGTGGTGACATAGAATTCCTTAAACATGTAATTTATGCTAATTCATGTAGAATGCGATGAATAAAACCTCTGCAGAATTTGTTACTCCGCTAAATTTAAGCTAAAATGTGTATTGGACTAGAATATTGATTCTAAAGTGTATGTTATTTGGTACCACAAATTTGTAGGGAAGTGAACGATTCCGCTAAGTTTTTAATTGATCAGTTTCGTTATGTTCTGAGGTTAGATGAAAACATGACAACCTCTAATGCGACTATATAGGCACAAAATATCTATTGTTCGTAGGGTCATTCAGAATTTAATTTCCTTTTATTTACTTATTTGTACAGAATAATTTAGATTCTTCAGTGGTCTATTGAATACATTTCTGAGAAAGGTTTGGTCTTTTTAGTTATCCTCTTGTGAAGAATTTCATATAACACAGCTTAAAATAGAAATAAATGAAATTGAATTTCAACCCACAAACAAATAACCTCATGAAAGACGTTAAACTTTATGCGTGAAGAATTATATAATATTTTATGTTTTCGAATTTATGAAAAAGACGAAAGTACAATGTAACACATCAAGTTTCGTAACATAGGTGAAAATTCTGATCGCTCATTGCATGAGCAGTGCCAAGCATCATATTCTCAAATTCCTTACAATTTGATTCTTCTTTTCTCCAAGTTTCAACAAATAATGGTACAAAAATTCCCGACTCAGTTTATTTCTGAACAAAAGTTGAAGTTTTTAATTCGAATATTTCTCAGTATTTTTCCCAGTCAGGATTTATCAGATTCTTAAGAGCTCGGTTAAGTTGCTTCGAGATTGCAGTGTAATCACGGGGAGTTTGCCCTGCAATTACACAGGCCGCCGCTCGTGCGCGAAACCTCGAGGTGTGGCGCTGCTCTCGACGCTGGGATTGTTTTCATACAAAAGAAAAATATAGATAGTTAACGCAAGCATCTTCAAAATTCACTCGGGAATTGTGTGGTATCACAATAATATAATACTGATGGATTACCGTAACAATCGATGCAGTTATAGGGCTTTTGTTCGGTAATAAATTACTCAGGAAACGATATCTCTGTTATTTTTTGTATGCTTAAAGCTGATCCTCGTAGAGGCCTTAACGGATAATTTCCCAGCACCAAACTGCGTGGAATCTGCGGATACAGAGCAGAGTATTCGTCGTTCACTGGGCCAGGGCTAGCCGATTTACCCATCCATATTTATGTAGTATTATATGAGTGTTGAATATATGCAGAATTATTCGTCCCGTTGTTCTGAATGAGATTATGGCGCGCAGCATGAGTAGCGTAATGCCATAAACATGACCTTCACTGTTTATAATTAGGACCCAACGAATGGCCCTCGACCTTAAACCCTCTGTATGGAACAAAATATTTGAGTGCGCCGATGAAATTAAGTTAGAATCCAAAGTAAGTTGCCCTTAGAATTATTAACTGTATACGTACCAACTGTAAAAAAGCATGGTTCTCCCTATGCCAGCTTCAGAGATAAGACAACGGACAGTCGACAGTTTTCTTCATAAAAGTTCGTAAGATTTACAGAATATCGAACTGCAAAGCAAATTTACAACACTGAACAGCGTTCCACAAAGACATTGCTTCAAAATTAACACTATTAACTGAACTCAGATTTAAACCGGGAGAAACGGAGAGAACTGAAATGGAAATGTCTGAAAAATACGAAGAAGACGTTTAGCAATTTTTTGAAAGTTGAATGTATAATCCACGTTTATAATGTACGGAGAGTGTACTAAATAGGTTTGAATACTTTCAAGAAAATGTATGGTAAATCTTGTGACATTGTGCCCTCAGTACATAGGGAACTGTCTGAGCCGATGAAGCCTTTTTCGCGACCGACGAACAATTGCAACGACACTAGTTGATTGATTGAGCAAATAAAAGATTAATGTATCCAAGAAATGCATCCATGATACCAAAGAGGCCTCTATAAACGCTATTACACAACAGGATAATCTGAAATATTAGTTTGATTAACATAACAAAACAGCAGCAGTAACGGGTGCATTTGCATGGGTAACAGCGTCTCGACAAATGAAGGTAGAGATAGCCTGGGCGTCATCTCATCCTAGTCCAAGTGATTTAGCTGCGAGTCCAGAGTGGTCATGACATGCATAAATACAATTCTACTGAAGCATCATTACTAACCTTAAAGGCATAATAGCGAAATAAACTTGAAATATGGAACTCCTTAACATAATTTACTTTGCTTCAACTTAAGAAGAATAAAGAATGTTCTTCGACTTTAAAAGACGCGGCTTGTAGCCAACTAACGAATGTAGCAATAAAACTTCCATGAAGCAGTCGCTGCGTCGCGTACATTTCCTCACCTGGTGTTTATTAAAACATGTTGAAGGGAGCTGTTGTTTCTCAGCAGCTGAGTACGCAACAATCAAGCCGTTGCAATTGCATTGGCCATTGTTATGATGTTCATAAAACATGGCAATGTAAGGAAGTTTAGGTTGTGCACAGACTGGTGGTCTCGGACACTCGAGCTGTCGCAGCCGCAGCGTGACCAAGTGCACGGACTGTGGGTATCTCTGAATCGTTTCACGTTATTATGTGTTACTCTCTGAAACGTGATAAAAATTTTCATCAATAAAACTTCATCATTTGAATACTATCATCGTGTGTCAATCCTGTTTAAAGCTTTTTGAGATGCCTTTGTTAGGTTCGGTACCTCCATTCAAATGTAATTGAAGAATTGACTGAGAGATTCAATGAGATTATCGATTTCGGGATTCAATCAATTTATCAATTGTCTTAAGCTTTATTAAAAACTTAGATAATTAGGTTTAAGTTACCTGTATATAATTAGGTTTACGACCTGTATAACTGAAAAATTATCGCTAATGAGCGAAACGAAAGACGACAATAGTAACATGTATTTTTAGTATTGGCCATTCACGAACCCGTATGGAAATAAAGAATTAGGAAATGAAAATTTATTATTTATGAAATATTAAGTTCACATTTTTGCCTTAACTTTATTTGAAGTTTCGTCCTACAGTCATTTAGAAAACTATAGTCATTTTTGCCAATTAGTTTACTTGTTGCCTTGAACGCAGTAATTCTTAAGTTTTGAGGAAAAGAAAAAATATTTTGGAAAAATTATTCCTTTGAGACCTTCATATATGCATTTTTAATTATTTTTATTTATCAACTATACCAAGCAGATTTGATATAGAAGACCCAACAGCTCCACAAATCTAATATACAGCAGTCATGCGTGCGATAAATTTCTTCTTCGTGGTGTCTTTAATTTCCGTTAGTCAGCCCTCGAATGCTGCGGTGAGTAAAATTTTCTGAAAGAAACCTTTTAAGAGGCTGTATTAGTGTCCTAGACGACACTAAAAACGGCAGTAGTTTCTTTAATAGGCAGGCTGAGAGCCTTGAAGAAATCATACAAAGAATCACATAAATTGTCATGCATTGAATTGCATATGAAGATAGTAAAGGTTATAGAATGATCAAGAGCAACATTGTGCGTTACGAGGTTTACGTTAATTGACAAATATAAAAACACTTTTTTGTTTACTGACTTCTTTAAAGTTATTTGTAGTTGTGAACCATATGTGAAAAGTTCACTGTCAATTGCTTCCATTCTTATGGCCTTTAATTAACTCATTTCTTCAGTTAACAAGAGGCTTTTAATGCAGCCAATTTCAGAAATGTCATTCAATTAATAAACAATTGGTTTTAACCCGAGGCTCTCCTAAAGTACAAGAATCGGCAACAGGCCATGGGCCTATTTCTTCAGTGCCGACACTTCTATTCTATTCTAAAGTATAGAAAGGAAGCTATTCAAATCTAAATCGAACACTTTCAACTGATATCAAAACTTTAACTTTTAATATATTGAATTCTGATTGTGTCACTGAGTCAATGTGTGGAATATTAGTTGTATTGTATAATGATGAAAAATATGAAATTTATACTGAAGTTAGTAATAAGCAAAATAATGATGAAGAGAGAAAAGATCCGGTCAAATGACACGAGTTTAGATCTATGAACAAGGCACGAAAAGGAAAAGAATCGGCGACAGGCCACATCAGGCCTACACTTCAGCGCCGACGTCACTATGTTATGTTATGTTATGAACTTATGTTATTATGTTCTTTCTATTTCAGCCTCAGATTGATGCTTCATCGCTCGAGTCTGGGGCAACATATTTGAACTTCACAGATGCGGAGATCAGTTCTCCAGTTACGGATTTTAGCGCTATGAAAACCCAGAACCGAACCTCAGATGAGCATCAAGATGGATCAGTTACTGAGATTAGTTCTGGGTTTACTGAGTTGAGCACTCCTGGAATAGAATCCAATTCTTCTTTTGAGAACACAACTGTTCTAATAGTAGAGGGAGGTTCACCAGAAATAGAAAAGGGACCAGCGGAACACACTGGACTTGCCGTGTCTCTCAACGATACTGATGATGAGGCCAGGGTTATGGTGGTCGTTAGCCTGGAGCACATTGAAGCAGAGAGTACGTATAAGAAGGAAAAATGTAGCCAAGTAATATAATTTATGGTTTTCTATCCCATAATTTGGGCTAGAAGGTTGAAATTAATCTTATATTTTGCAAGTAATTTTTAATTACAATTTTCATCTCGAATAACTTTTATACATCCAACACACGCATTATTCGTGATTTGGCAATGTATCGCCTATTGGCTTCCGACACTCGTGTCTCTCAATCAAAAAGTTGAGTCATTTGTTACTCTAGCACCGCAATCTAGCACGAAACTCACCGCTATTTAACAACGCTATGTTATTCCCTTCACCAAATATTGAATATGCTTACACACAGACTTTTCTAATTATATGCACGTCCTGATTGGCTAAAATTATTTCATATTGGCAGCGGACTCCCCGCTCCTCTGCTCGGCCTCCCCCCTCCCCGCCATTGTGAGGGTCGGCGCCCCAGTGGCACTCACAGCCAGCCTCGCCGCCCTCCCCCGCCCCTGCATGTGGCTTTTCTTGGTCAGCACTAGACCAGATAGCTGCAAGTTAATCATATATATTTTCTAATAAAATTTGCATCAATGACCAGCACTTTCTTCCGTGAAAGTTTACTCCTCTGCTCGTGACAAAAATTATGGATTTTCTGTGTTGTAATTTTTCTTTCTTGGAACAACTTTTCACCTAATTTACATCTGAAGTCGAATTCAAAATGCCGCTATTAGAGCCGATCTTCATTTGACAGGATTGTTGCAAAATTCAATTTCCATTAAAATCTGATCCGTATAATAATTGCAACTTTAGTTGAGAAATGTACTAGTTTACTATATATAACTATTTTTTTAACATTGATGTCGGATTTTTGTCAGGCTGAAAACAACGCAACGGCCGTCCCGGAACTGAACGCTTCGTCCGCAGATGCCAATTCTGACCTTTACGCCGCAGAGGTGCGACATGGAACCGAAGTTGAAATGAAAAGAAAAGTATCGAAGAATTTGCGTCTTACTTGTGAAGATTTAATACTAGTAGGAAACTACGAATGGGAAAGCGACAGCGATGATGGTGGAAGCATTCAGAAGCGTGACGTGGAGAAAAATGTCAACCATGATGAAGATGATGAAAAATATGAAATTTCTACTGAAGTTAGTAATAAGCAAAATAATGATCAAGAGAGGAATGAAAATATCGAAAAGAATAACACTAATATTCATGGAAATATCGAAAAACGAAGCCTAGGAGAAAATGTACTTCCAAATGACGTAACAACACAAGCTGTTACAGAGAGTAGCCAACAAGGAGATGAAACGCACTCAGAGCGCAAGTGTGCGAAAGGCAATCACATGATTGTGGGTGACACTATGGAACGATCTGAACGGTTAGTGATGATGCTAGATATAGCGAATTAGACTACAAGAAATTATTTTCGTCATTGTTTCCTTATTTTCGTGTCTTTTACTGTTGATTTCAACCCCACTTACGTTAGCCTTTTTATTCATATTGGAAGTTAGTCCCCAAACCCCCGCCGTATCTCCTTATCGAAATTTTCTCAATTGATAGCAGCATGTATTGAAACCATATTGATTTGATATTAATTAAATTTAATTAATTAATTGGACTTGTGCAGGGTTTGCGGCTTTGTGCAAGACTTCGAGTTCACAAGCCACACGGGCGCCCTGACAGTGAGGCTACGAGCCCGGGGCCCAGGCACCGACCTCGGAGACTTCGAGATGGCTGGGTGTACGGTCAGCCTACTGGCTGACTAAAGCCTACAGCCCGGGGCCCAGGCACCGACCTCGGAGATTTCGAGATGGCTGGGTGTACGGTCAGTCTGCTGGCTGACTAAAGCCTACAGCCCGGGGCCCAGGCACCGACCTCGGAGATTTCGTGATGGCTGGGTGTACGGTCAGCCAACTGGCTGACTAAAGCCTACAGCCCGGAGCCCAGGCACCGACCTCGGAGACTTCGAGATGGCTGGGTGTACGGTCAGTCTGCTGGATGACTAAGGCCATAGGCCTGTCCCCAGCCACTGGCCTCGGACAGTGAGATGGTCGGGTTTAGACTATTTAGCTTACTAAAGGTGCCAGCCATAGGACCAGCCACTGGCCTCGGACACTGAGATGGTCGGGTTTAGACTATTTAGCTTACTAAATGTGCCAGCCATAGGACCAGCCACTGGCCTCGGACACTGAGATGGTCGGGTTTAGACTATTTTCATCCATTCCCCTACATTCATCTAGAACTTATTTTATTATCAACGCTTTTATTGTATTTATTTTACTAAATAAATCATTATCAGGGATTTATCAATTAATGGGTTCAAATCATTACCCTGGCTAAATAGAAGGAGAATGCAGCTAAACCAAAAGATCGGGGACCATAACCATAAAGTATTGTTAGAATGTTTATCCTGTAATTGAATAAAAGAATATTATTAAATGCAATACATCGCATTCTCAAAATTGCTAAGAACATTATTAGAGGAGAGTAGCTCATGAAACTTTGCCGCTAATTCGGACTTGACCAGAGTTTTGGGACTCAGGACTCTGGAGACGTCTGAATCTGGCGATGTTTAGCAGTTGCGCATGTTAGGCAGCAACTACGGCAGATCACTGCAGACTTTTGCTGCAAGTTACGATTGCCGGACCTGCAACCTTATTAAAAATCAGAGGCAGGTCGAGGACGGCCAAATATCGGTCAGCTGCAACTTTGACGGATTATCCTAAGGAGTTAGAGATGAATACTCGCTATTTCGGCACCGTTCACTGATATTACACGAGTAAAATGTATAGCAATACATTATTTAACAGATAATAAGTTGGTGTAAATTAAGGCTAGAGGAAACTTAAAAAAATCCAATAGGCACGTTGAAGAAAGCTTGCTTTAAAAAGCTCTCTTTGTGTTCATTTCTCCTCATAAAAAATGAATTACGCCTGAGAAATAGAGCATGAAATGAGTATAAAAATTTTGTAGATATGATAATAATATCAAGGTAATATCCCTCAAACAGTAGAGCGAATTTTCCCGTCTCATACGCGAGATTTTTCATGAACATAATTCAACTTATTTTCTTGGACCAAAATTGAAGCAAATATTTTATAACCGAGTTCTATCCACAACACTGAGCATCATTTACGTAGCAAAGAACAATCGTCTCTTTTTCGTTTAAGACTGTATTTTACGGCCGTACAATTACGTTAATAAGAAATTAACGCTGCTACTTTGTAGCAGTTCTAGGGTGGATCATGAGCGCTTCCACCGCGTCACACGAGGTTGATGAATGTCCGCAGCAATCCTCACTAATGTCTTCCACTTCCACCAGAACACCTCGTCGTCTGGGGGAACTCTATATAGTTGGAGGGAAATGAAAGTTTGAAATGAAGAATATGAGATAAAATATAGAACAGATTGGAAGAAATAGTTATATTATCAGTCTGCTTATATCGCAAGTTCACAAGGAATTTAAAAGCAAGGAAAACGCCAAGAAAATTCACCATATCGATATTGAAAACGTTTCGGAGTCCAGCTCCATCATCAGTTCGACTAATATTATAATAAGAACTTAATACGAGGTTCAATATTGTAGGATCTATATAGTTGAAAACTACAACTAATGATGGAGCTGGACTCCAAAACGTTTTCAATATCGATATGGTGAATTTTCTTGGCGTTTTCTTTGCTTTTAAATTCCTTGTAGATTGGAAGAAGATGCACTGAAAAATTAAGAACCCTATATTACAGCAATATGACAACCAGGAACTGATGGAGAAAAGGTGGAAGAGCCTAGATAATGCTTGTTAGAATCTGTATAGCAAAAATATAAAATTAATCCAACTGAGAATGTGATGCAGAAGCGTGGTAGAATAATTGACAGCAGGTCAAGTGAAAAATAAAATAAATCTAAATCCAAAACTGCATGATTATTCTGTGAAAATAATATTCCTATCGATGTAACACTAAAAAACGAGCGGGGCTAATTAACTAGTAGTGGTTATCATCACAAAGGTAGCGGGTTTGGGGTTGGAAACCCGCAACCAAAAATTTTGAAAATTCTGCGCGAGATCGGCTATGTGGCCGGCGATGGTCCAACAAGGCCTAGTTGTAGCAAAGCTGAGGCGATGCACATCAATAATATCTTCATACTGATTGGCAACATCAAAAAGTCTTACTAAATGTAAACTTTAAAATTTTTATGACATCTTCGTCAAATTTCTTGCCTACCGTTTGCATATTTAGACCATTTGTAAAAATCACATCTACTCACCACTTACAAATCAAACTGTAATGCTTGAAGACATAAATGGACCAAAGATCTCAGTTCTTATTTGCTATAATGTCCTAATTCAAAATTATTATAATTCCCTAAACGCTTGTAAAATATTTTCGTTCCGACATCACTTCTATAAAACCTAAACTTGAACGCGGACGAGAGGCTGCCAAGAGAATGGATCAAGCGAGCCCGAAGAATGCATAATAAACCACGGCACGTTGAGCCTCAGATTAGAGAAGGATGAACTGCTCGTAGCTTTTTCCACCACTGATGACGGATGGAGGCTCGTATAGCAGCATCGGACTCTGTATACCGGAATGCTCTATATAGCACCAGCATCCCCGCTGCACCGAGATAGTATTAGATAATTCAAGAGTTTATAACTTGAACCACCCCCTGACATATATGTTGGGTATAATGTTATCGTCATTGCCGGTAATAATAATAGTTGACTATTGGCACAATTAAGAAGTTAAAAACACAATATCAGAACCAGAGCGGCTCCTAGAGAACTAACAATGTTTTGGTTGACAGTCTTGGCAGGCGAGATTCAACCTTGGCAGGTCAAACTCAAACCTTGCCAAACTCTTCTCAGTGAACTCCGCTGGCAAAGTTTGAAAAGGCTAGCGTTCATTTGCATAATAATGGAAGAGACAATACAGTGCCTGGAGAGCGCTGGCGGCAACGACAATAATGTCACAGTAGTTTAGCAGTCACTTCATCGCCTAAAGTTAATCTCATCAGACGGTCTTGAGCTTTCTTACAAGTGAAAAAAACTGAAACATTTTATATCAATCTCATTTTATTACGAAACAAAGATACAAAGATTCTATTCCTTTTCACAAACTCTGACAAGTGAACAAATTCATGAAAATCCGATTTTGAATTATGACGAAAACATTTAGTACAAAACGTCATGCAAATTTCTGTAAAATATCTTGAACAAATCGTAAACTCGATCCAAACATGTATGCGTAGCAGTGACGCAGAACAGTGACATTTGGCAATGAAACGCCGTAACGAGGAGTGATGCGCAGCAGTGACGCAGAGCAGTGACATGAGGCAGTGAGACGTAAAAATGAGTTATACGTAGCAGTGACATGGGTCAGTGTGCAGTAATTTAAGGGAACCGTCTCCCTCTTTTGAAAACTTTTTCATTTACGAACGGGTCGTTTTGAAACTTGGTACACATATGTAAAACAGAAATCTAAGAACTTTTTGTTCGTGCCAATTTTTCGAAAAAAATGAAAGAAAACGTGAAATTCATAGAAAATGGCGAAAAAATGGGTACTTTAAAAATCTATCTCCTCCTACAAATATCGTGCTACAACATCGAGACACCTATCATTCGATTTGTAACGATCATATCTAAAATCCATCCGATCATGTTTTTTTTAATTTCGAATTTGTTCGGGAGGAGGGGGGATTTTCCAAAATTTTCCCAAAAATTTCAAATTTTCACCCCTCCATAGAAATTTGAATTTTTTCAATTTTCCTCCCTCCATTCATTCCCCCCTCCTCAAATTTTCCCCCCTCCATTCCTCCCCTGTCCGGTACCCCCTTTTCCCTTTTTGCAAAATATAATCCAAACTATAACGAAATCGATAAAAAAATTACCGGATGGTTTCTAGCAATTTTATTTACGAATCGAATGGTATATGTCTCATCGCTGTAGCTTCAAAACTCTAGGAGGAGATAGGTTTTACGTGACGATAAGTTAACTTTTCAGTAGAGCCCGACAAAGTCGCTCACGCCTCGAAATAGACATTCAAGGGTGCAAGGTTGCAAGACTAGATGATACTGGAGCTCAATTTCTGTCAAGAATGGTGCGAAGGACGGCACGAGAACCATCCCATACGACTGCAGGCGGATAACTGAAGCACAGCGTGTTCAGACTAGCTATTTAAGCGTGCTACCGGTAATTTCGGCCAATCTTAAATGTTAAAGAACACCACCACCCCTAACTCTTTCGCAATTTGTCGTGAACGCACAGAGGTACCTCTCAGAGGTACGCACTCTGTACCTCTCATCTCTCAGAGGTACAGAGATGATTTTGTGAGAAATATGAGGAATAAATAATAAATAATTCTCACAAATTTCTCAGTGAGAAGCAGTGAGGTCTGTGCAATAAAAAAAGATAAATTTTGTGAAGAACAGTTGAAGGCTATAAGAAGAGCAGTGCGAAAAAATGTTGAGTAGTGACAAGTCCCAGTGAGAGCAACTGAGTGACAGTGACTAGTGACAGTGATGGAATGTGTGGGGATGTAACATGGGAAGTAAAAGATACTGATAATGAATTCAACAAAAGCAATTCCTGAACACAAGGAAATTTTTTTCGCAACAATGTATCTATATTGACGGCACCAAGCACAAAAATCACCACTAATCGTTCAAAGTGTCGCAAATACTACCACGAGAGTCACACATAATTTTGGGAGCAGCCTCTAAGTTTTTGCAGTTCCATAAAGGGCAAAAGTTACCCATTGGCCACAATCCACGAGAGTGACATTCGCTCGTACCGCCGTAGCGACGCATGTCCGGTACCTAGGCGTCCAGAATTCATCTAATTCAATAGAAGTTTGTTCTGTGTCGGACCGTGCCTCACGGAGAAGCTTTACGACCATTGAAACTTGAGTCTGTCCAAATAAAAAGAAGTTCCCACTTTCCTGAGGTGACTAACGCACTTGGCTTGAGTTCTTTGTTATTTCATTAGAAAACTTGGCTGCGTTTTGGATAAGTTTGGAACATAAAGCCGCGTGAGACGCTAGCTCCGGCTAGGTGCGGCATTCAAGGTTCCTTTGTTTCGTGCCTGCAATATTTTACACGAATGCCACACTTGCTTTCTAAAATATTAATGTCATTCGTGATATTAAGCATCCATAAAATAATTTCGAAAAATTTTCAAATTTCAATCTTGAAATTTTCAAAATTTCAAATTTCCTTGTTTAATTGTGTTCCTGCCTAATTATGCTACTCATATAAACAAAAAATGCATACTTATCTTCTCTAATTAAAATAAAGT